CCATTTTGGAGATTCAGTGGCGGCTGAATCTCTGAACCAGATTTGGCTGAATTGATTTGGGACAGTGATTCAAATCATCAAATCGAATCACTGTCCCCCAAATCAGCCGAATCTGAATCCAAAGCGAATACTAGCTGCTTTGCATAGGCCTATTGAGAGCACAGCTACTGAAACTAAAAAATAATGGTCCAAAAACAGTTGATGTGTGTTTCTCCTCCTGTTGTGTGACAGTATTCATGAAAAGGCTTGGATTATTCATATTACCATTAAGAGTACTGCTGTTAATTTTCATTGGCTTGAGGCAGGGACAGCAGTAGTTTGTAAGCTTACTTTCAAGGGAATGAGCCCAACCTTCAGCTGGAGCAGCACATGGTGACAGTCAGTAGTCCTGTAATACAAGGAAGTCACATGGGTCAGTTCCAATCCTGTCCTACTCTGAAGGAAAGGTATGTGAGCCAAGTCCTGGGATATGTCTGATGTAGCTTCAGACTTGAAAAGGGAGTGGACTGTTAATCTACTCTGAAGCTTTCTGATCCTTGAGCTGCTCTTGAGAAGCAACTTATAGTAGCTTTAAGATTGTTCCCAATTGCCGTAGTCCTTAAAGGGCTAACTGGGGAACCACTGGAGGCGGTCCCATGTCTTCCACTTAACACCCTATCATGCTGAAGACATCATCAGCTATCAAACTGTATGCCCCTTGTTTTGTACTGAAAAAGCAGCACAAGGGAGGTGGAATGGGGATTAGGACTAGGCTGGTGATACAGGTTTTAAGTGAAATTAATTTAGAACATTGATCAAGAATCTTCTTGTATAGCTACAATAATCCTACACAACAGGGCAGTAAAGCTAAGGAACCCCCCCAAACATGGGGTTTTTTTAATAGAAGGAGTATTGCTGGTCAGAGCAGAGAGGCAGAGCTGTGCAAAATGATTGCATTACACTTGCCTGCCTGCAAGATGCTGGTCTGTTGCCGATGCTGGCAATTTGTCACTTTGATCAGCATCATATTTACAAAATCTAAGGCAGTTACACCCACCAGAAGATGCTCACATTGCAGGGTTGCCTGTACTGAGTCAAGTGCTTTGTGTATTTGATGCCATTCACATTGGATTTTCTGTGAAATAGAAGTTTATATTCCTCAGCATAAAGCTGAGCTATCACAAAGGCAGTGCGTAACTTTCCAACTTGCAATGCTGATTGTTATGCATTTGCAACAACATTTTGCTAATAAGTAAATACACACACACACACACATACACACACAAGCATGCATGCATACAGCCAGAGTAAGAATAAAACACATTTTTGAAAGCCCAAACACACCTCTGCTTCACCTTTTTATAAAGGCTTCTGCAGCTTCCCCCTTTCCATGCTCTGAGTACAGAAAATGTAAAAATAAAAAGCAGCTCTCTGCAGCTTGTGATGTAGCCATAGAGCAGGCCTGGGTATTAAGGGATGACATTTATGGCTGACATCAGATCTGAGTATTTGCATTGGATTTTCGTGTCAGCATTGGAGGTGGGGCTTAGCAAAGACACCGTTTTGTGCTTGTGATCTAGCTAAGAGGCAGCTCTGTCTGAGAAGATACTCATTTCCCTCTTTTCTGTTATCCTGCTTGGATCTGACTCCTCCCTCCTGCAGCTCTGAACAGCGCAGTCTGAATCAAAGAGCCTCACATTCTCTACTATGTTTCTCCGTGAGCCAGTAGGACTTGAACATGTCTGTCTTCATTTCAATGGAACTCTCAAGTAAAAGCACATTGTCTGACATCTGTCAAAAGTGAATGGCTTTTTTTTTTTAACCTCAAGAGCAAAACTTAGCCAACCTCTTCTGTTTGGATGGATTATAAAGCGGCAGACCAACCCCCCCTCCCATATCTCTTTTAAGGAGGATTTGCTTTTTTATGCTTTTTGGTACATATGCTAATATTTCCTTTGCACCGAGCCTGATTTGTGAGCGTGAGTTGCTTTGGACCGAGACACATCTGAACGTATCCTGATCAGGTGCCAAAAGGGAGAGTCTTTGAAAACAAAGAAGAAACTTGTGATGAGGAGCTAACAGTTAAGGTACATCTGATGAAAACTTGTGAAGTCAGTGAGGAAACCAAATAAAATCCTCAAGGACAATGTCGGTAGCAACTAATAATTTATCGCTAAATGGGACAAACTGTGTTCCTGAAAATCATGGCATTCTGGATAAATCCAATGGACAAACTACTTTGAATATTTTTCTTTTTTGCTTGACTTTTATAATTACATTTACTGCTCTTATAGGCAGTGTTTATTCACTAGTTACCCTGCTGAAAATGCAAAACAAAACCACTGTTTCAGTGATTGTGACTTCCCTGTCTGTGGATGATTTGATAAGTGTTGTGCCAGTGACTCTCTTTATGCTCATGCAGTGGTCCAGCAAGGCGCTCCCTACATCTCTGTGCACCACCTCAGCTCTGCTGTATTTATTTCAGGGCATTTCTAGCAATCTGAAAGGCTCTCTTATAGTTTCGTACAACTTCTACACAATCAACAAAGCGGTGAGGATAAGTCCGGGAACCTCCAAACGGCCAGTGAACATGATATGGGCCATTATCATGATCTGGATCGTCAGTTTGCTGATATGTATTTTGCCTCTTTGTGGTTGGGGCACCTATTCACCCACGTCGTGGGGGTGCTTCACTGACTGCACCAGTTCCTATGTCTTGTTTTTATTTATTGTCTATGCATTGTGCTTCTGCCTCCTTACTGTGCTTTCTGTCCCTCTAACTTACCAGCTGTTGTGTTCAGATGAACAACAGCATCTTTATGTTGATTACCAGGAAATATCCCGAGGCTATCTAACCCCTGGTACACCCCCCATCTGTAGTACCACTCCATCCCTTTCTCCAGAGGACCCTGTGGCTAAAACCTTAAAGCATTTCCGAGATGCCTGTTCAAGCTCTGAGACAGCATTGAGAAAAAGCACAGCTGAGAGCAGTGGACTTGAGCCCCATTGCACAAACAGTACATGGAGCAGGAGCTTCACTGTGGGGTTTGCTCAGAAACGCTTTTCACTCATCCTTGCTTTGACAAAAGTCATTCTTTGGCTTCCGATGATGGTAAAATGTCAAACTTTTTATTACTTTCAATCGTTTCTTTAAAATAGGAAGTGAGTTTGTGTGCTATTCATTAAAACAGAAATGCATGCTACTTATCCAGCAGCTATTAATTATATCCACAAAAGTCATTACAAATTGATTTGTGTTTCAGTAAATCCATGTATCTTGCTTTTTCTAGGATTGAGATAGCCAAATTATACTCCATTTTTACACCCAGGTTCTTCCACTGAGGCTAATGCAGCTACATAGAGCTAACCAAATGTAGGGGTGAATGAAGTCCAATAGTTTGTGGTCTTAACCCTCTTTCACAAGTACTAGTTTGACTTCAAGATCTGTGAGTTTGACTAAGGTGGATTCTCCCCAGTCCTCAGAGTTGTGAGTCACACCCTTTGCCAATTTTTTCTGGATAAGAAACTGCAGCTTTTCTGCTGAGTGATGAAGACTGTGTACATCTTTGTAATTATTCCAGCATTATTTTGATTTGTTTTGGTATATGAATGGTGCAATATGTGGAAAAGGTCTGGCTTATGAATAAGGTGGGTGTTGTTCAGTGTTATCTTCATCTCCTAAGTCTGTATGGAATAAGCATCTTCACCTCTTTCCATTGATACACTGAATTATAAAGCATTTGAAGTCCAATTTTGTGTGTTCTGAGAGTAAGGGATGCTCTGTACCTTATAGGCGTGGCTCAGCGGTTTCTCTTGAACTGCTCAGCGTCTGAACTGCTGCTTGAACAGTACTCAGGCATCAATATTTATTGTCTCACTTACAGCACAAGTTATTTTGAGGAATACGGAAAAGGGAGAGAGATTGTGGGAGAACCTTTGATTAACATCTCTTGAAAGTGGAAGTCCAAAAGCTTAGCACAAAATCAGTTAAAACAACCTGTGGCTTTTATTTTTGTTATATTAATAATGAGATGTTTTAGTTATTCCTGAAGATATTACATGACTGGAGCCATTTAATTTCTTAATACTCTGCCTTTCAGATACAAATCGTTGTCCAGCACATAGTGGATTTTCAAAGCCTTTCCTTTGAAACATTCAGTTTTCTACTGACTTTGCTAGCTGCCACGGTCACCCCAGTGTTTGTTTTATCAGAACGCTGGATCCACCTGCCCTGTGGTTGCATCATTAACTGCAAGAGGAATGTATATACTGTGTCTTCAGAAGAAAGCAAAAGTAAGTATGGGAAACAGGAAGAGAAGCTATCTCAAGTAGTATGCCATATGGGAACACACTATTGAGAAATTTTGTAGTAGTTTAGGAAGTAACTTGTTGGCACCAATATGCAATTCTCCTTTATACCTTTTATAGAATGCTCTAAATCGTCTTCATAACTATTCATAAGCCTTTCAAAGCCCCATGAGATGAGTGGACAGTATTATTATTATTATTATGATTTATACTCTGGGGAATTGAGCCACAGAAAGCTTAAGTGACTTTCCCAACGTCATACAGGAAATCATTAGCAGAGCATCTAGTAAAATCTAGGATTCCAACACCCAGCTCCCTCACTTTCACTTCTAGACACCGCTCCCTCTCTAAAACACCACGCCTGCTGAAGTCTGACATGACTTAGTAAAATTCATGGTCTGTGCTAAACACATTTAAAGCCAGACAAAAACACTTCTCAATTTAAAATAACCTCACACCCCTGAATTACTAGAATCCTGTCAATGAGAGAATACATTAACTGCACATCTGCTGTGCAGCTACTGAGCAGCCTTGGGTGTTGACATGAATTCACAACCAGAGCCATGGGCAAACATCAAGAGAGTCTGAACACCCGTAACATCTCTTGTGTTTGTTTAAGCTAAGGGCTTAGAACACACTGTCCCACAAATGTTTGTTCACATAATTAAGGAATTCACCCAGTCCATGTGTCATATTTTGAGCATGTTGGGCTCCCATAAATAACTTGCCTGGACCCTCTAAAATGCTAAAGCCAACCCTGCTGGGCCTCCATATAGAAGTGGCTTATGGTGTCCATCTCCCCGTCTATCCATGCTGCAAAGGCTGCTTAGGGCACTGTTGTGACACTGCTAGCAATTGCTCACCTGAGCTGTCCCAGATGCAGATTCTGTCTTCTCACATCTCTGTTATGGTCTAAGCTCATGCCATCTAAAATCAATTTGGGGTGTTCGATGTTTTCCATGAGGGAGCATGCCTGGGAACTCAGTTATTGCTCGCACATTTCCACTTAGTTACTGGTCATGCTCACTATTTTCCCCCGCATGTCTTAACTTACAGAGGCCATGTAGAGCTAGATATTCATGGCTTTTCCATCTACCAGTATTTGGATGATAGGCTATGTCATCAGATTTCCCTATATGGGTTATACCACTGGATATCCATTTGAGCCTACCTGCTTACAAAATATACCAAAACCCCCCTCCAGCCATTTTCCCCTCCCAAGCCACTTACTTGGCTCTCCTTTTAGCTGCTAGTGCAAATATGATTATGAGTAACAATTTTTAGAGCAGATTAACATGTAGGAACACAAATTGGAATTGATTTGAGTCAGGTTGTGGTTAGCAAATTACTTTTCATGATGTCTTGCCTATCCCCACAGCTTACACCACAGTTTAGTCAGATATTATCTGGTACTAAAAAAATAAATCTGCAAGCAGAAATTGTATAAGCTTTTAAAACAAAACGTCATTGTTCTTTTGATAGGCTTCAAGTAAGGTGAGGAAATTTTAGCTATGGTTATGACACATCTCTGGGTGCTCTTAATACCCGAAGCAACTTTAGTTTTGTGTAAAGTGCTGTTGTCAGAATCTCCTGATTTTGGGGTATAAATCTCAGTGGTCACAATTACCTATATAGGATCTTCAGTTTCTAACATACACATCAAAAAAGAAGGACAGAACATCAAATTAAGGAGGCCTAAATGAGAAAATAGATTTTCTACTGTTTTTTTCTGAGGAAAGAGATTATTATTAAATGATGTTTAATAAGCACTCAAGTCTTTTTGGGTTCCTACAGATGTGTGGGGAGGCTACTAAAATGCATTGTAATTACAATGTATTGGAGCAGACTATTAACTGAGTTGATTAATCGAGTCTGCTGGAGCATGCTAATTAGCAACCTCCAACAGCCTCTGAGTCTCAGGTACCAGCATCTCCATGCTTCAAAATGGTGCTGGGGGCACTTTAGAGCTTGTTCAGTGAGCTTTAGTTAAAGTGCCCCCACTGCCATTTTGAAGCACAGGGATGCTGATACACAAGACACTGCAGGCACTTTAATTAGAGCAGCTCTCAGAGATACTCTAATTAAAGTGCTCCCCCCACCCCTGGAGCATATGTAAAAATGTCCTTTAATTATAGTGCACTTACATTAATCATGCACACAAGGAAGTGTATATGTTTGATTTCAGTGACAAGTTAAATCAGTGTATTACAATGAAATTTTAAAAATGTTCATACTTAAAGTTGCTTTATGTTCAATAATTATAAAAGGTTACAAGAAAAAATCTACCAGAGGAAATTAAATACATCTGTACCTATTAAGCCTTTGTTAATATATAATAAATATGCTTGCTATATTAACAATAACAATAAGCAAGTAAAAAAGGGAGCAGCAGTCCATGTCAGATGTATTATTGAAAATAACAGTAACAGAGGAAAATATCACGTCTTTTGCATTTCATTTAGGATTCAGTGTTGCAATTATTTTCATATATAATACTGCTTTTCTTTTTTATATTAGATTTTCAGCAGCAAGAGCTACTTGTCTGATTCTTTTGCTAGGCCTGAGTCTGCTGTTGCCTATGACCTGCTTCAAAGGAAACTCAAATCAATGGAAAATCTCCCTTTGAAAATTAGAACCATAAATACTATTGATGGTCCATCCTCATCCCGTTTAATCTGATATTAATTTGCTGACCTGTTGTTGTGATTCAGTGGCAGACTCCTTGTCTGCTTTGTCAGGTTTGATTCCTGGACATGCACATAACTACAGCCGTCGAGGCACCAAACGTCTGGACTCAGTCTGGCCTTTGGATTCTCAGTGGTCTAAAGAGGCAATGGTTTAAAGAGGGAGGGAGCAGACTCCACTCCTCCATACTACTAGGTGTGTATGTCAAAGGTCTGGGTGATCATACACCATGATCCAAGATGATTGGCAGTTTACTACTACTAAAAACTGTTGACTTCAGGGGATTTTTTTCCTGGTTCTTATTAAAATACTTAAGAAGAAAACAAGGCCCATTATCTTCAGAAAAACATTCTTTGCTTCCTGTCTTTAATTCTCTTTGCATATGATACTTCCTCCAAACCTAGAATAATTTGTATACCAATGTTGGCCTTTTAACCCATTTCCCAAAGAGAGTGGCTGCAGATTTTCATGAAAACAGTTTACTCGAGATAGTGTTGCCCAGAGTCTAGCATAATATTTAGAAAGAAAAACATATGACAGATGGTGAAGCAACAATTATATAATAAACTAAACAGAAACTCTTTGTTTTTAGATGTTTAAGCTAGAGGCCATTCTCAGTTTTTAACAGAATGATTGAGTTTGTGATTTCACCCCTAGTTAAACATAATCTTCTAAAAATAAAAACTATACTGAATACAAATAAATGCTTTAGAAATGGTTTCCAGTACTTTTCTTTTAACATGATTTAATGTAGGTTTGATAAGGAGATGTCTTAATTAGCTGTATAGAAGGCCTGCTGTTGATTACTGTATCCTATAGCAGGGAAAAAAACTAAGGATATTTGTTTGATGGGAAGGAGAAGAGAACTCTTTCTTAATACTTAAACACTGCATTGATGAAACATAGTTAGCCAGGGTATTAATACTGGAGAATATATACTCCAATACTGAAGCCATATAATCGATATATGAAGCCTCTTGTTCAACTACACTATTATTTTCTAATGTAGATTTGTATTTGTTTTGTCTCGACATCAAAATAGAAAAAAATATTCCTTCTCAAAAGCATGTTTTTATAATTTTTAACAAAAGGTTGGTGCTTCATGTATCTAGGCTTCTGAGAATTTCTCAGTATTCACAACTGAAATAAGAAATGGATAAAAGATATAGCAAGAAAAACTATAATTTGGCTTTTACTTCTACTATGAATTTTATTAGACTTTGAAACTCCTGTTCAAGTTGAGCACATAGCTTGCTCTTAGAAAGAAGTGATATATCTAGTGGCACAAATGGAAAAATGCTATGATTGTACTATTTCTCAGCAATTCATACTTTTAAGGATAGAGAAATGCTGTTAATTTTTCCTGATTTCTATTTACAGATGAAAATAAGTCTATTTTAATACATTTTATAACATTTCTTCTTCCTTCTCCCTTCTGTTTAATATTTTAAGTATGGAAAATTTTCCCTTTCTGTTTAGCAAAAAGGAGAGGTTTTGAATTCAATCTGTCATTCCACCAAGGTTATGGAATCTACAAGATATCCAATGAAAAACACCACCACCCTGATGATGATGATAAATCTATATCATATCACAACTTGATGAACTATGACAGTGAAAATACAAAAGAATCTCAAAAAGAGAGCAGCAAAATTCTTAATTCTACCAATGCTGAGTTCAGCACCCTACCCTTGGAGGACAGCTCTTTGCTTAAAGATACCAATAAATGCAAAAAAATGGACACTGCAGAGATCAAGCAAGATCTTGGGAAAGACAAGAATATGGACCATCTCCTTTCTGACAAACTAGGGACATTTAAAAGAGAAGAAGTCAGAAATTTTGAGAAATCCATGTTTTTGGAAGGACAAGAGAGAAGGCTGTCTCATGAGGAAAGTCGTAAACCAGAACTCTCAGATTGGGAATGGTGCAGAAGCAAGTCTGAGAGGACTCCACGCCAGGTAAAGCATGCTTTTAATTTTTTTAAATTTCTTTAATTCCTTTGAAATACATTTTTAATTTTGCTTGAAAAAAATGCCGTTGGCCCTATTAATAATGCAATTTTTTACGGTAGAAAATACAGGTTCCAACAGACAGTCGCACTGAACATGTTAATGTATATATTCAGGCACCTTTTTCTACACTCTTTCTCCTTACTAACTCTACTGTTAGAATTGTTTCCCATGTGCACCACTATTTATAGATTTTAAGTTTGCACATGCATTTTAATAGGATAATTGTAATAAAAGTTAAAGAGGACATATTTTTAATTTTACTCTAATTAATAGGCATTTCCTGTGTCAATGAATCACATATGCAAAGGCAAATTTTAACTACATGCTAAATTTTTTAATGCTTAAATTTTGGACAGTCTTGGGCATGAAAAATGCACATGAAAACAATAGACGGTTGAAAAGATTCATGCAAAAATACAGGCACAGTTATAGAGATTCAATGACAGCCTTATGAAAAATTGCGATATAATTTCAAAATGGTTATCATAAAGAACTGTGGTCTTAGCTAATACACTTTTGATTTATTAGTTTCTCTCTAAAGGAAAATATTTTGAAAACTTCAGTGTGTTAATACAGTTCTGAAATCCATCAGCTAACAGTACTGAAAGATTTTTTAATGAATTCAGCTTTTGCACATGTAATCCTTCTCCTGAGATTCTTCTGTCTGTAAGGATGGATAGCATGGTCATAGGGGGCTCATATGAAGACCTTGCTTCATTCTGGTCCAGTAGAATAAGAGAACAAAAATAGCACTCTTTCATTCCTGACTTGCTACCTATAGTTATTAGGAACAGCACAGAGAAGAGAATACCCACTGTCCAGCCCCTCCCTTTCATGGTCCAAAGGAGTAGGTGGAGTGTTGGCTTCTTTTCTTTGCCATGGCAACCAGAGATGCTGAGCAGGTGGCCTGAGTGGTGAAAAACTATACCTGAAAAAAGTTCTGGCCCTTTTTCCTATCTTAGTCAGGTAATAGGGGAAACAGGAAATGAATTGTGATATTGGAACCACTTGTCCTGAATCAGGCAGACTGAAATTGCAGATTATCCTATAACATGATTTTAAGCTGAAAATGCAAATGAAAAGCAACACATCTTTTGGATGATGTACTGTACATTTATTTATTCATGCCATTCAGTGAAATGCAGTTGACTGTGGATTTCAATCTTAGTATCTGTATTTCTGTTGATATTAACTGGGAAGATGATGCATCTTAATAAGAACATTCCTTTATGTGCAATATTAAGTAGACTGCTACCGTGAGCAAGAAGGGCCCAGGAACTAAGTTAGTTTACTTTGTACTTCATATGAAGAACCTCTGATATGCAGTCACTGAGGTCTTAGATTTTCTGCCTCCTAAAAATTTGGGACTATGAACAAAAGGCCAAGTATTGGCTTCAGGCAGAATGTAAAACTCAATAACTGCAGCTATAGGGGAAATTGAAGTGAACAGTGTTTGCATCTCAATCTTCTCGTTGCCAGAACTGCTGAGTTTACACTTCAGAATCTCTTCACTTACTCAGTTCTGAGAAAGCTTTCCATCATGGATTTGAGTGAAAAGGATTAAGATGTGTAATAGTATTGCAAAGCATTATGATCCAAACCTCTATTTCTTAGTATGGACTGTTCATGCATCTGGCACAAATAATCTATGGTGACACTTTTGGGTTGCTTGAGATAATTCAGATAATGATATTTTAGTGCATTAATATTTACCCATTTTCAACTCAAATCATTAGAGAATATTTGAGGGGAATATTGCCTGTTCTGCTTTGTGTCTGATACAGTCAGATTTTTAAGTACTTCTGTAAATTGGCTCTGAGGCTACCTGAAATGTCAGCTTTGCCTACTCACTTGCAGATGTCATCAGGTTCCTTGTTTAAATCCAAATGAAACCATAATTTGCTATAAGGGTATGAACTGAAGGTGAGACATCCAAGAGAAAAGAGGAAATAGGGACAAAAATATGTAATGCAAAGAATAATACATCTTTTTCTTCATTATTGGACTACTAGTTAATGTTTTTTGTTTTTATCAGGATCTTGTATGCTAAATAACAAAATTTATGATCCTACCTATGATTATTTTTGACAGTTTCTTAGCCGTAGGGAAAACACCATTTAATTAATAAATGCTCCTAAAGTTTTATAGGAGTTGTGACACTGGGGAAAAACATGAGTCACTGTCTTTGGATGAACAAACAAAAATATGCTTAAATAGTAATGATTGAAATGCTCAGGAAAAATGGTTAAAAGTGAAAAAGTTGCTATTGCAACACTGACAAACTAAGCCAGGATAGTTGTTATATTCCCCCTGCCCTCTAGTGGTCACACAAATAAAGGTTTCAGTTACCTCTCAAAGTGATCCAAATGGACTTAATCTAAATCAGTGGAAAGCACTGTGTGCCCTATCAAACATATTTGCAGGAGATGTGACAGAGCGATTCTGGCTTACAGCTAGGAGTGGCGAAAAAGAGCTAATAAGGTTCCTCAGAAACAGAGAATAATTTTAGAAAATGTTAATACTTAGAAAACTTAAGTATATCTCAAGAGGAAAACAAAACTGCTTATCTTGGGAGTTGATAGCTAGGCCTGATTAAGGATATATAAAACATGACTGGGCCAGTTATAGACATGGAAAATATTTAAATGTGGTATATTTTCCATGTCTAGAATCTAATTATTGGACAGCTGCTTTAAATTCGACCCCCACAAAGCAGTGTTAGGGGACAAGGGAGCATCATCCCATGCCCCCTATGCCTGTGCCTGCTCCCCTCATCATCTGTCATCCTGAATCCCCTTCCATCCTTTGCACCACCCTGCTGATTGCTTTCTGGGCAGCAGCTCTAGCTCTGGGGCAGTCAGCAGTGGCAGTGGCCCTGGCTTGGCCTGGCCTGGCCCAGCCAGGAAGAAGCAACAGAAGCAGCTGTGGGCCTGGTTGGGTCAGGACCAGAGTGACTGGAGCTGAAACTAAGCAGTGGGAGACTGGCAGTCAGGAGGGAAGGCTTTGTGGTCTCCCCCACATTTCCCTGCAAACCACATACCATGGGTCGGCCCATGCAGCCCCCATTCCCGCCCCAACCCTGCTGCATGAGGTACCCCAGCGTGGGCCAAGCATTGGCCCTGGGCCAGTACTCAAATCTAAGCAGTGAGGCTTTTTTTCCCCACATGATGACTGGGGAAAAGAACCTTGTCTTGGATTCAAGTAAATACCATATCTAAATAACACAAATAATCAGGTTTGCATAAACTGTAAACTGAGCCAGAACTGAATAAAAGAGACCGTTTCTAGATGGTGAAATTACTATCCATTTAAAAAAGTGTTTATTCATTTTTGGCATGTAGTGATGAACACTTTTTGTTCTATACAAAAAGGAAACTGTCCTCACATATACCATGTATAATCTAGTTGACAGAGTCAGGTTATGCTCTTGTGGGTTTATTGCTGTTTTATAATAGCCTCCAGTAATTTTTATTTCAACAAGAGTTCTCCTTGAAGGCTGTCCTTTCAGACTGCTAGACCTGTGACTTCTACATACAGCTGGTACCAGTCTCTGCCTGTGAAGCAGCTGTCAGTGATTACATGCGGCTAGCTTTATTTGCCCTGGGGATGGTGTTTGTCACTTTTTGGACAGACCTCATCACCCCTTGCCATTGCCTGGAATCCTAATTAGTGCTTTTTTTGACATTTTTCAAATTATAGCACAGTGTGAAGTTGTCAGGCATTAATGGTCCTAAGGTCTAAAGTTCAAGATTTGTAGTTACAAGATTTCTTTGTGTCTGACATTCAGCTCTAGCTTCCAGACCCCCACAAAGCTGATGTCCTGCTCTCTGTTAGCTGTGTGGGCTTTTGGCATGTACTGTTCATTGACAAGGCTAAGAAAAACTAAACTAATCCTTCAGTGAAATTAAACCTTGGGTCGTCTACAGGTACTGCTTATTGGAGCAACTGGCTCCCTTAGTTGCTTATACATATGATCTTTTTATTTTTTATACTTTTTGAAAGCTTTTTCTAATTAGAGCAGTAATAGATCCTTAGACGCAGGGGTAGCAGTGGATGTCGTCTTTCTGGACTTTAGGAAGGCCTTCGACACTGTCTCTCACCCCATTGTCATTGAAAAACTAGGGGACTGTGGTGTTGACACCTACACAGTCAAATGGGTCACTAGTTGGCTGGAGGGCCACACCCAGAGAGTGGTGGTGGATGGGTCATTTTCGACCTGGGGGGATGTGGGCAGTGGGGTTCCCCAGGGCTCGGTCCTCAGGCCCGCACTGTTCAACATCTTCATCAGCAACTTGGACGAGGGGGTAAAAAGCACCCAGTTCAAATTTGCAGATGACACTAAGATGTGGGGAGAAGTGGGCATGCTAGAAGGGAGGAATAGGCTGCAATCAGACCTAGACAGGTTACAGGGGTGGGCGGATGAGAACAGGATGGGTTTCAACACTGACAAGTGCAAGGTGGTGCACCTGGGGGGGAAGAACCAGCA